GGGGGGGGGGGGGAGGAGAACTTGTGAAACTCCCTCCCCTCCTCTGACGACAATAAAATATATTAAGGAATAAAGGTTTACTAAATTTCTGTAGTAAAGAAAGTTATTCAATATCTCAACTGAATGTAAATGAAAAATAAAAATAAATTTTAAGGTCTGCATAAATGACGTTTTCTTAATAAGAAGTCAGCTAGACACCACATCGGTAGCCCATCCCATAGAAAAGTCCTGGTTTGGCTCTGTTTACCATACTATTTTCATAAAAAAATAATAGACTTACTTAATGAACTTCATTTCAAATTCATAGTAAATATTTTCTAGAACTCTAATGGAATGTATATTGACTTATAAATGTTTTTGTATAATATGAGAAAATTGAAATCATATTACATATTGGAAATATGTTTCTGTAAATGTGTTAACTCAGGTGTTGTATTGTGCGTAAGTCTGTTGATATAAATAAAAAATGTATGTATTCATATACAGCAACTTCAATACCTATTATTCATTTCCAAATACTATGAAACAACATAATTGACTATTCTTTTACAACATCTATAACGACAAAAAGTTCACTCACTTAAATGCACGGAGATAGTCAGCAACTTGTTCAGGGCTTGTCATATAGGAAACATAGTCGAGAATACGTCGGTTCACAATATCACCAAACATAGTGCGTATAATCTGCCGCAACAAGGTAACAATCCGACGTCGAAGCCACTGATTCCGAGATTTCAAATCGAACACTTCATCCATAAGTAGTAACATGATTCTCAATGGAATGTTATCATCAGTCTGGAAGCAAAGCCATGGATATGCAGAGCAGATGACAAATTCACTAAACCACTGTCTCCAAGGAGTGCAACAATGAAATCACACTAATATAGTAACTTACATTTCAAGAAAGATAATAACATTTTAAATAAGCAAGTTTAAATGAAATATCCCAATACATCATGTAAGCACAAATAAAATATATCTTTAATTGTTTTAAGGAGATCGTTATAATGAGGCAAAATTAACTTTGACTCGTTGGTATATACTATGTAATCTTAACAAAGGAATAAAACTTCTATTTGTGGATTAAAATTTATCAGTTCCCCCGAGAATAAAGCAGTTGTTCATGTTGTCAAGTACAAGAAATAAATGTATGTTTATGTATCTGTAATTTATAAACAATCCAACATTTACTAGGACAAACCTAAACAACAGCAATACTTTAATTGCTGGTGGATGGAATATTCAATACAAAAAGTATCATAATGTACAACACTGAAAGGGAATTAATTGTAAATCCAAGCAACTGCACATTGTACAAAATTGCACAAGATATGAAATCACTCTTGAAAAAATTTGGTGCTCTTTTCAAGAATATCATATTTTTGATATTGTTTAATATTGTAATATTGCACGAAAATGACTAAAATTTTCAAAAAAAATTACATGACCTTAATGAAAGAACTAACTACAGAGAAAAAACTTCACTTTAAGGAAAAATCTATATGCCATCTTTATAAATGTATTTTATTCTACTCTCTCAAAAAATTTGAGTCATTTTTTGGAAAGTTTGAAAATGTCTCTGGTGCTTCAAGTGAAGTTCCCTCAAATTTTAAAGAATGTTTATTAGATTGCAAAGCTTTCAGTGAAGAAAGATCGACCAGAAGAGAATATCTATTTTGGGAAAAAAATTACATATGGTAAAATTAATAATGAATTAAAACAGTAACATAATGTTATCTGAAACATTTGAAACTCCAAAATACCTCAATATGTAAGGATGCTCCAACTTTCATTGACTCGTAAAATCCTGATGGACGAATTGATCTGGTCTGGAAGACTTTACTGATGCCATCCATTACACCATCTACAGTACTAAGCAAATTATCAGGCATTGTGCGAACAGCCTGTCCCATTGTACGCATCGAGCTTTTCAGTGGATTCACCAAAGTATCAAACTGAAAATTTGAGAAGAAATTATTTGTACACAAAAAAACTTATTAACCCAAGAGTACCCACAATGTTAAATGTCCTATCAGTACACAGAATGTATCTGACAGATATTCCAATCATTTTTGCCTGAGAGCAATATTTTCTTTCAGTTAAAATGAAAAATTGCTATGGACTTAGAACCAAAATGATATTTAAATTGAATTTAACAACATTCAGATTGAAATATTTATTTAACTATAATTTAGAGAGGGATGAGCTACCACTTATGTCACACCATGGTGGGCAAGTTTCAGCTTCTTCAAAGCTTATCATTCAAATTATATTGAAAAGAACGACAGAGAACTACCGCTGGGAGGATACAAGGAATCCCTCACCTGAAGATCAAGCCTTTCAATTACAGTAAAATCTGACTAAGCAGGAATAATTTGAAATATTTCCTTTTCTGGAAGGTTTCTTTTTTATTTAGTTGACTGTTTTTGACATTTTTGTGATATTTTTTATAAATGTTCTTATCGAAGCTTAGAAAATATAAAACTTTATTATGATTAAAATACATGTACCTAACGCATTTACAGAGGAAACGTCAATAATTATACATTATTAATGAAATATTCTTAGTTTCTGAACCTAAAACCAACAATTATTACAATTGGTACCTTATCACATTGATATGAATGCCTCGAAGTCTATAAAATTCAAACCACAAGCTGTTTTGAACCAATCACTATGACAATTAAGTGTGGGAAATCGTATACAAGCTTTTTATCATTCAAATAATAAAGTACAGTGGAAGCTAGGAACGACCATGAACAAATTTGGCCTTCTACATTGTTTGGTTATGCTTAACAATTGTCACATATTCAAATGTCACATTGACGAACTATATCTAAGGCCATTCACCACAGAAATTGGTCTCAATTGCTCTGGATTTTGAGAACTCTATATACAGCCAAAGTCCCACAGTGGTAGAGTTGGAAGACTTTGTTGATTTCCCAAGATGAAATCTCAACTTACAATTGAAAATCCTGTCAACACCAAGAAACCAGTTGCAGCAGAGGAAGAAATTCCTTAACCCTCACAGATGCTTCTATGTTCAATTAGAGGAAAATGTGCTGCAGTGCATTTTCACACTTATGTTGTATCTAACCAGTAGTAACAGATTTTCAATAGTGTTAGAGATTAAAATAAAGTAAATAACATTTTTTTTCCATTTATTAAAGATTTAGAGTGTTCATTTAAATTTAAATGTAGGAGAATTATTATCAATCTATTATAATCAGTGCCACATGCATTCCTCTACTTCATCGACAAAGTTATTTCAGATTCATATTTAGTTCACTTTCAGCAATGGGTATTGTTCAGAATACACTGTGTTAGATCACTACTTTAGTTATCATTATTTATCCTTCTAATAATATTCTCAAATATAATAATAATAATAATAATAATAATAATAATAATAATAATAATAATAATAATAATAATAATAATAATAATAATAATAATAATAATAATAATAATATCAAGTCATAACAGTCACTGAGGCAAGTGAATTATATTCACAGGAAATCCATTTTACAATTTTTTTTTTCTCTTGTTCCTAAAACACAGTTCCATTTTATGCTGTACAAAACATTGTGTAACTTCTTGGGCCACAAGAATTTTCTGATTACGACAGATTTCTGACTTATTCAGATTTTACAGTATTTGAAAATCTCTAGACATCTGAATCTAATACATACATTGCAAGTACTCCCAGATCAAAAAACAACACCCCAGAAATACATCAAAAGCACTCACAAACCCAATTACTTGTGTAATTAGCATCAGACTAACAGCAAACATAAATTCAGTTTAAAGAATAAACAATACAAAATAAAGCAAAAGTACTAAGTCACTATCAGGATTATATTCACTGAAACAGATTGGAAACAAAATATTATACAACATTCCTGAATTGTGCTTAATGTTTTAAACTTGAAATCTGACAGTAGGTTGACATTTAAATTTCTTACTGCATATTTAACAAATATTATACAAAAGTGCAGAGAAATGGAAAATATTTTTTGAAGCTAGATAGAATACATTCTTGAAAATGTTTTCAATGTATTTCTAAAATTAGAGAAACTAAAGAAATTAGTGTGAGAATCACCTTTCTATATACTGTGATTTATTTACAGCTGCATCTGACAGGACATCAGCTGATACCATGTCATCCAATTAGGAGATTACATGTCACTATATTAAAGCCACTGTGACATTCAACCTTCTAATTGAATGACACTGGAACAGCTGATTTATGTCAGTGGCAACTCTAAATAAATCCAAGTGTATTATGTTTAATCCAAATGTAAAACTTCTTAGAACTGATGCCCTCTCAATTATAATTTAATTTCCTTGGTAATCTATTGGAATGAATAAAGTTGTTTGTTTGTTTTTATTAGTTATTCATACATCATATTATAAAAATGCAATTCTTTAAACAAATTTTGAATTAATGTAATAAATGCTGAAATTAATGATTTCATGTGATTTTTTAGTCTTTGTAGTCAAATGTTATGCACAATGATAAGAACTGAGGTTGAAATTAACAAATGAAAATGTGTTCACAATAAATTTATTCTTCTGATCTTCTGTAGAAGTTATCTCAAATTTCAAAACCAAAATTGGTTAATTTATACAAGATAATTTCCCTTTAAGCATTTCTGAATGGAAAGTTGTCAGGGGTGGGCACCTTTTAGACTAATTTTTGGTAAATGAGACACAAACTACCTCAAATATTTAAAAATATCTACGTTATTTAACAGAAATTTTGCTCCAACAATAAGGCATGATGTTTACTGATTTATTTACTACAATCACCGAAAATGACATAATTAGAATAACTATCATATTGTGAAGTCCATAATGATGACCCATACAACATGATAGATCTCACAGCTGATAGGTACAGATAAAGATGATAAGAACCAAACAAGTTTAAAAAAATTATAATCAAGCAAGCATATACTTACGGTTCGAGAAATATGACCTCCAGTCACACCTTTGTCATAATCACCTTGTTCTAGAAATTGCAGAAGCATGCCCTGCAACTGTGGATGAGTTTCCACAACTCCAGCTTGGAGAAGAATTTGCAAGTAGTCATTCAGCATTTTCATGCGTTTTTCTAAAACCGCTCGTTCCATATTATGAAAGGTCTTTTTTCCAGGAAATGTCAATTTACCCAGGTCTCCATACTGTGTGAGAAATATTAACAAGGCTGTAAACTAAAAACTCAAGTAATGTAGTAAATTAATGATTAAATAATGAGAATTATATTAACGTCATGGTGAAGTGTAAGTGATGTGTACACGTTTGTTTGAGATCTTTTTCGAGCATTTTTTCATGCAAAGATGAATTGTTATGTATTGAGTCAGACTCCTGTGTTTCCTATGGTACAAGGATTGCACCCTTGTATTTGATGTGTAATTGGCACACTGCTGTAAAGCTGTTTCTCTGAACCACCAAACCATAAACTTGAAGTTAAGACATGTTTTCAAAGAGATCTATTAAGGGAATTTTTGAGTCCTGAATGTGCAAGAAGACCTATGGTGCACAGTATTTTGTTACCTACAGAAAGAATTGCTGATTTCTGAGAGGATATATGAAGGAGAAAGAAGTTTGGAGCACCATGTAGTTTAAGGCTGTTTCTCAACTGAACATCATTGAGGCAGAATTACAATTGTTTTTGAGGTTGAGGCAGCTTCTTCTAAGAATGTCCAGTTGAAATTGATTCTCAAGAACTATCAATATTGAAGCCTTAATAAAGTGAGACATGGAACTTGCAGAGAAAAGTAAACACAACAAAGAAGAGAGAAGATATATATGTCAATATAGTAAGAAACCAGTGGTAAAGAATATAGTGTTTTGTAAGAATTTTGAGGCCTCTTATCATGAAAATTATAACAAGCGAGTTAGTATAAACTTGAATATAGGCAAGCCTGGTGAATCAAGTAGATTTAAGTGTTGTCCCTTAGAGCCATCCTTTATATCAAATAAGTCAGAATCAGAACACAGCAACAGAACCAGACAGAATGCTCCGAACAGTTGAGACAATATCTTGAAATGATTGAAGATCTGGAAATTTCATGTATTTCTGACAATCAAACTCTAAATGGGCTTAGCAAATACTCTGCAGCAGGGTTTTACGATATCCTCACAGTATTCTTGAAAAGGTGGGTCTTGTAACTAGGTCATACCTTGACAAAGATCGTCACAAAATCACTAAAGGCATAGTTCCCCATCAACGGAAGACAGCTACAGCCATTTCCATACTTAAGAAAGACAAAAAACAGAGGTCCAATAACTACAGGCCAGTAAGCTTGATTTAGCACAGCAGGTAACTTAATGAAGAGAGTTGTCACATGGCTTCTGTTAACCCATGCCCTTACTAAGAACATTGTTCCCTATCCGCAACATGGATTTATTCATGGAAGACTTTTTACCACTACAAACGAATTCTTGCACTTTATGTCCAGACTAAGACTATTGTTGTAGGAAATTCTGTGGACATTATCAATCTACTCTACACAAAAGCCTTTGATAAGGTCTCACACAATAGGCTATTAACTTGCAGTTTTAGGAATCTGGAGGAAACTACTTTGATGGATCTAGTATACCACATGGGCAGATCCATCCAAGTGTGTATGGCTGACGTACTATCTACACCAAGACCTGTCACAAGTGAAGTTCCCAAAGGCTCAGTCCTTGGACCCATTTTACTTATTTTATACACTTACAACCTAAGAACCAAATTAAAATCAGAGTGCAATTGCTACACGGATGACTCAAAATTATATGAAGACCCTGCATTACACTACCTTGATATTCAAGAAAACTTGCAGAAGATTGAGGAGTGGTCAACTACTTGGCTGCTTCCCTTGAGTAATAGTAAGTGCACTATTTTATACCTAGGAAGAGGGAACCCTAGATACCAGTCCTCGATTGGGAGGCAAACATTAACACCTACACCACCTCAAAATGTTCTCGGAGTAATTGTAATTCTAGGAGAAATGGGAGAGTCAGGTAGCTGTAGGCATCAGGAAAGAAAATTCCTTAATCTCCCGGATGAGACAAGTTTTCTAGAGATAAATCGCCTTCCATGTGGAAAATTTACACAATGTACCAATTTTAGAATATACAACAGCTGTCTGGTCTTCATATTATAGAAAGTATATACAAACCATATCAGACTGTTGTACCCAAGTTGGCAGATTCAAACCCGATCGAAGCCTTGGATTTTTAAGGGCTAAAAAATCTTTCGTACGCCTTCCTTCAGAGGAGAAGTAAAACCGGCTGTCCCACGTTAGTAGATTTACTTGCATGTAAAAGATCCTCAAGCCTAAATGACACCTCTGAGCTAAATTCAAATTGCCTGTTCGTCGCCCTAGAAATGCTCCCATTCTCAGCTAGTTGGTGAAAGGAGCGTAGCGAAATTTGCGTGGTCAGACGGAAGAAGACACCTCATGGCCTGAGTCTCACCACATAAAATAAGGCATTCATTCAATTCAATTCAAACCCTAAAGAGGGTATAAAGACAATCAACAAAATTTTTCTACAGATCGGCAGTACTCTAGTGACAAGACAAGATTCCACAAAATGTCCTTACTAACACTGAAACAGAGGCTGAGTGGGGACAAATTCATCGAGAGCTTCAAAATTTTGAACAAAGGTTTATAGCACTCAAACTCAAGATAACTTTTCAAGAAGACCTCAGATTCGCAACTCAGAGGACATAGTTTGAAAAATGGGCCAAAACTCAATTTTCTGAAAAACAGAATAGTCAATGTATGGAATAGTCTATCACCACAGAATGTCTACAAAATAATAATAATAAACTCATTAATGGGTTTATTGGAAGGTTTGTGGAAAGTACGTGAAGGTTAGTGGAATATTTATGGATATATCCAAAGCGTTTGATAAAGTAAATCATACCATACTTTTAGTCAAACTAGAGAAATATGGAATAAGGGGAATAAACCATTATCTTCTGAAATCATTTCTCACTGACCGCCAACAATCTACAGAAATAATCTACTTAGAAAATAACATCATAAAAAGATGCAATCACACACAATTACAATGCATGCAGTGGAGTTCCACAAGGATCAGTGCTACACCCATTCTTGTACATAGTGTAGGTCAATAATTTTCAACCAACCAGTAACACAAAACTTACAATGTAGGCAGATGATACAATGCTTCTAGGTTGACACAAATTACAAGATGAATTGAATAAATTAACTAAAAGCTGCCTATTAGAAACTTCAATAATACAATGAAATTGGTTTCAATGTTAATGTTAACAAAACAAATATAGTAATGTTCACAAACAATCCTCGAGACAAAGAATCCATTACAATAAATATACAAAATGGACCTAAACCAAATGTACAGATGATCAAATACTTGAGAGTAGAGATGGACACTACCTTATCCTGGGCGGGTCATATTAACAGAGTGTGTAATAAACTGAGCTCAGGAATTTTTGTATAAAGAAAATTTAGTAAAATACTAGAAGAAAGGGAACTAAAAGCAATTTATTATAGAATAATTTATCCTCATATTCTGTATTACTATGCGAGGAATTACTATGCGAGGTGGTACATACAAAACATATATCTAGAATATTCACTTTGGAAAAACAAGCAATTAGAACATTATATAACATGAGAAGAACAGAAACCTCCAAAGATAAATTCCAAAAAGGGAATTTTCTAACTGTACATGGGCTATACATTTACAATACCATACTTTTAATGAGGTCAATTGGAAATGCGCTAGAAAATAAAGATATACATAACTATAATACCAGAAATAAGAATAATAAACACATTGTGAGTACAGGTCTCAAAAGAACTGACAGAAATCCTTATCTTTCAAGAGTAAAATTTTTCAACAAATTGCCAAATGAAATAAAAAATCTAAGCACTTTCAAATTCAAAAAAGAACTAAAGAAATACTTAATTAACAAAGCATTATATTCTTTAGACGAGTCATAACAAAACAACAACAACAACAAAACATTATCTAACATGTAGAATATTGTGGATTGCACTGAATTAAGAAAAATAATGAAATTTACTATGCTGAATCTATATGTGCAAGTGTATGGATAAATATAAATATATTAAAAAATTGTATGTATTAAATTGAATATTAACTGTATTGTATGTGACAATGTAGTATTTTTGATATTCAATGTAATTATTTGTATACTAATGGTATAGTTTTAAACATTATTTTGTAACATAGTAGTTGTCCTATTTTACAAGAAAATGTATTTATTATGTTAAAATAGTTAAAATTTGTATTAGTCAATAGTTTGATAAAACTCAATTCATGACATGATCTAAAATGATATTTTTACTATCATCAAAGAACCAAAATAAATTATTATTATTATTATTATTATTATTATTATTATTATTATTATTATTATTATTAAGGTATATGTTTATCAGTTTTTGCTACTGTCATAAATACATAAATAATTAAATTACCTTCTCTTTAACTTTTTGATAGAGATCATGGAAATCAGAATATCTTCTATATACATGCCATTTTTCTTGATATCCATTTTCAAAGACTTTAGCCACAGCAACAGCATATATTCCATAGGTTTTCCCATGGTCATTCACAATACCTATAATAAACATATAAATATAAGTTATCAATGATATAAACTATTATCATTAATATTTAATACACATTACATTCTGAAGCAAAATGTTAATACATACTTTTGAGATCATAATAGTTGATGCATTTAGGTATAAATAATGGTACTAGACATTCTGGATGAAATTTAAATTATTGGTCTTTATGAAAATGAAGGAGTAGCAGTCTATATTTCATGTGATTTCAAGAATAGGCAAAAATATGGCAGGCTTATTTCACTTATACATTGTGACTCAGCATTTCATTATGTATAAAATCTCAGTTTCACACTTGTATTTTCCAACAAAAACATGAATTGTTAGTTACCACTATTTACATCTGAACATTTCATTTCATTTGGAACAAACCTGTTTCAATTATTTCTGCCTGGAGAGTAAATGGACCTTGCTGCAACTGCTGTTTTGATGGTACATCCATGCTGATGCTTGACTTACTAGGAGCTCCTTCTCCTACTGATGCATGAGATGAACTGGCTAAGATGGGTGCAATAGATGCTTCTACAGAAGCTGCAATAGCTCCTAGAAAAAGACAAATGTAATACGACAATTAAGCTCCCATATCTTAAAAGTATTATTAGAAGGCATTCAGTAACATTCAAAGGACTCAAAATTGAAGTTTTTGAACTATTTTTACTATATTTGATTCTATAAAATTTGGCTCCATCTATCTATTTCTTTATTTATCAAACAGACACCCCCCCCCAAAAAAAACCTATTATTCTCCCGCAAAATTATGTGACCACACCACACAACACCACACCACACCACTTCCAAATCACAATCCTCACTAATGTCATCAAAAGTATACAGTGTCTATCAATATCACTCTTTTAGCCAGTTTCTGAAGGCATTTCTTCACACAGCAAAATGCTTGACCATTATTCTACACATGCTATTCAGTGGAGCATTAAAAAAGAATTAATTCTAGCAAATGGCAGCATATTTAGTGCTTCATTATTATTTCTGAGACTTCTGGGAGGAATCTTCTATTAAACTTTCGAGAATAAACTAGTCAAGGCAATCAACATTACTACTGTTGTCCAAGCAGATAAGACTTTTTGACTTATAGCTGGTTCCCTTGGTGGTCAATTCAATATAACTCCACAACCCTTTAAAAAAACAACTTTATTTCCTAATCTCTCAAAAGTGTTTTCATGTGGGTTATCAAGTATTACAGTTATACCATTTTTTAAATTTGTATACAGTGTAAGTCACAAAAAATAATACAAATTTCTGGAGTATGGAGAAAGGTAAAAAATAATCACTTTCGGCTAGAGAATTTGTGATAGGAAATTATATACAAGAGTTCCATACATTTGTACATACAACATTTTTAGGCAATTCCTTCTCTCCTTCCACAGGTTGCATCCTGATGCAGTCATGTTCGTGTTTCTGCCAAACATCATATTTAGAGACCGGATTCTTATGTAATTAAATATTTCATATCTTTCTATGTTCAGTTTTCAAAATTGTACATACAATTTTTCAATCAGGACAATGGTATCGCAATATGCAAATTTTTCATTCTATATTTTATACTAAATTACTTATTCTACATAAATTTTTCTCATATTTAAAAAAAATATATATATTTTATTTATTATTCAACTCGCAGACAGCTCCAAATATAACAATACTGTTGAGAACAAAGTATTTCACATTTATATAACTTAATTTAATATCATTTGTTTCATTTTTGATTTAAATGCATTGAGTGATGGTCACACATTTTGGAAAAATTTTATTTTTCCACATATTTCCTTAAAATTTAATTCACAAAAAAGATTTAATGAAATTTCAAAAATAGTTTTTACTTAATAAAGAAACAGCACTTTTTGTACATATTGAGAATTGGGTGCAGAAAATGTAAAGTGACTTTCTAAAGATGAGCTCAGATGCATGTGGACAGTCTGGGTTACCCTTTATCTGCCCTGCATATACGATGTAACAAGAGCAAGCAAGTGCTGAGAATATTATTCTTAGGTGTGGAAAGTATTTGTGATGCGTTTCTTCATTCAAACCAATTTACGAGAGAGTTAAGTAATCACAGTCATGTAACATTACAATGACAATGTTACAGTGATTGTTGTTCATTGATATTCCACATTTGTACGATGGCAAACATTGCTTTTGCAGAAAAATGTACTCTTCAACATAATTAACCCACAAGGACCAGCAATATTTATTTTTAAAATTGGTTTAATAAATATTTTATTAATGTAGTTTCTAATTGTGTAAATTTATTTTATTTCTAGTAAATCTATATATAAATAAAAGAATGTGCATATGTCAGTCATAAAGATGTAAAAACTACTGAAATGTTTACTTTGTTCTTATTAGTATTGGGAGTGTTTAAAGAATGGTATGAATGAAAGTGGATGTGAAGGGGCATCGTTGACAATAAATTATTACAAATTTTGTTAATTCATAGTACATATTTTTCTGGCACGAATCATAACATATTCGTCGGTAAAAAGTCATTATTTTCTACCCTTCTACATGTCTTAGTCTGTAAGATTTCTTCTGACACAAACTGGGCATGCGCATGCACATACGTGCACAAATATTTTCTAAATGGTTGACAATATTGAGTTTAAAGTGTCGCCCATAGATTTGAATCATTGGGTTTGTCAGTTCTACTTATTAAGTTGTTAGCATTTTTACTTTCAGGTACATTGCTTACACAGTATAGAGAAAATCTCATAAAGCTCCAGAATAAAACAGCAATTTTATGACTAAAACCATTATTGCCGGGCACTACTAACAAAAGGCCAATAAATCTTGTTTGTATAAGTGGTAAATTAATTCCTACAACACACGTTTACTCAGAATCCACATTTTGTGAGACCTTGACACCGAATAATTGGATTATGGAAAAACATTCACCTGTTTGTGGCCCGCTCTAGCACCTAAACAGGTTAGATGAATTTCTCTTAAATTGATATTCCCCAATCAATATCAGTGAACCAAAAATGATGAAAAAAGTATTTTGATTTTAAAAATTTTCTCAAAAAATTGCTCCAATTTTTTTAATTTAACTTTGTACTAAAAAAAAAACTCTTTAAAATATTATTTGAATCTAGTTTTCTTTAAAATTCTGAATTGCAAAAGTTCAAAATTTTTTGGCACCTTTCTACAACTTTAATATTCAAGAAAAGATTTTTTCTTAACAAAATGTGTTGTTCATAAGACATCATGAAATAAGGTTGTAAACAATTTTTCAAAAATATTCTGCCTAATTTTGCATGAATTGTAGCAGTTTTTAAACAATTATTTTCTCAAAACTTGTTCTAATTTTTTCTTTTAATTTTCTCCTTGTGTGCATCAATGTGTGGTATCAACTGGTGCAGGTCCCATTTTTGACGAGATATGTATTTTGTTCAATTGCAGAAAATTAACATCACACAAGTACAATATTGAAGACAGAGATATGTTTAAATTAATTTTTTTCTAAAACTGGGAACTACAACATCACATACTTTCTTGCATTATTTGTAATGGCTTTGCAATATTATACAACTACAAAAACCTGCAAAATTGTTTCAAACCAGCAAAATTTTTTTGGCACAAAGACAGAACTCAGATCCTCTGAGTTAACCCAGCGTATGCTTACATCTCACTGCCGCCGTGGAGTGCTTTTTAGGCCGACACCTAAAAATCTCATTGTTTTTCTCATTATTTCGAACACACAACTTTCAATGAAAATGAGACCTGCACCATTCTTTTACAAGTCCCTTGTTATATTTATGGAAAAAATTGAAAGAAAAAGTTTGGAGTGGTTTTTGAAAAAAATGTTTTTTATAAATAGCAGAAATAGCAAAAATTCAAGCAGAAAGTATGCTAAAACTACTTGGTTTTCCAGAACGATGTACATAATCTTTTCTAATGAATGAGTTTCAGAAAACAGATTTTGTTTCAAGCAAAATAACTATTTCTTCAAATTTGTAGTTTAAAAATGTGAATTTTTTGCAATATTCGAAAAAACAGAGTTTGCCACAATTTACACTTGTACTGATTTTTCTACTGTCCTTTCAAACATTCAATAAGAAAATTGAAAAAAAAAATTGGGAGACAATTTTGAGTAAAAAAAGTTTAAAAATTGCCAATATTTCTAACAAAATTATGCGAAAATTATCATATTTTCAAAAAACTGTTGACCCTAAAACGATGTTATTTGAAAACATGCCTTTAAAGAACAGATTTCATTAAGGAAGAAATCTTCCTCATATATTGTAGTAGTAAGGGAACAAAATTGAGCTTTTTCAATTTTTGATTAAGGGATTTAAATTATTTTAAGCATTCTTTATGCTATCTGAGGAGAAAGTTTAATAAAAAATTTTGAGTCTTTTGTGAAGAAATTTTGAAAATGTAATTTAGGCTTCATGTACTTCCAAAAATCTTAATATCTGCTTCAAATTCGATGGGCCATGAGTTTCTCTAACCGAACAAAGAATATCAATTTTGGAGAATATCGGCTGAACGGTTTTGGCATTAGCATTGACTACAGATAGAAAGAGTAAATGTAAAACAGATATTTAAAAAAGGTTATTAAATGATTTAAGAAGTCTGAATTTTTCATCTGTAAATTTTATTAATCATTGTCCAATTATTTTATCAATGTATCAATATATGATACAACTATTTTCAATATTCTCCAAAAGCAATTTAGCAGGCTCTTGCCTAAAAATCAAGAGATCTAATTATGAGCAAATGAATGATGAATACAAACCTGCACTGACAGATGGTGGTTCAGACACAGCCACATCTGAATCAAAAGATGCCAAACTAACATTGTCAGAGAGGCTCATTTCATCAAGAGACTGGGAATCTTCTTCATCGCTTCGTGAAGACGGATCCTTAAGCAAATCTAATTCTGCAAGCAACTTGACATATCCAATGCTGACTCGGAATCCAGGAAGAAAGCGATCTTCAGACTGTACAAGAAAAAAATGTGTATCTTTCTTTTGTATCTTAATGAAAGAAATTTCAATGTAAAATTGTTCTGTTAAGAACTAAAATTCAATACCTTAATAACTTTTAAAAAGTTTGTATTGGCACAATGCAGAGAAATGACAATTACTGAAATATATTTTGTTAAAGCACTAAGTTAATCATAAATACTATTGTTTTTAATATTTCCAAATTTTCCAAACAAACATCATTCTGAAAGCAAAAGTGACTGGAGTTCCCATTTCTTCATTCCCTTTGGTCTGCCCTTATTTGGTTTTCTCTTCTTTACTGACATGTTCTGCATATTTTGTTCACTTGTTGGCTTGATACGACATATAAGTGTGTTTTTTTTTACTTGGCTTATACAGCAATTTTTGACACGCTTGTTTATTTCAAGTGTTGTTAAGTACTTCATTTCTGAATATCTATTCACAACAGGTGCGGATTTCCTTTATTTGTTTCTTTAGGTCATGTATTTATATTTGCATTTTCTTCTGCAAATTGTTGGATTAAATCAGTTTGTGTGTAGTGATGCATGGACTGTCTTGGCACAAGCATAGTTGTTTTTACTTGTCTCTTTAGATTTGGTTCCTGTATTGCTCAGATGTACATGTTCTAAATACAATAGCTTTTTGCAATTTTCCTTGCATTCAATGGTGGCATTATATTGCAGAATTTCCTTACATATTTCACGTGTATTCCTTATGTGGTCACAGTTTCTCTTTTAAGCATCTAGAACACACTTTGGTGTTTGCTAATGGTTGGATTATTACCTCGTTTTCTTTTCTTTTCTTTTTTCTCCTTCTTTCTTTCTTTCAAAGTGGTTGGTAGTTTGTGATTGCCATCAATTTCTTTCTTCACATCAACTCTACGATTTCTTTCTTTTGTTCAATTTTCTGAGAATCTCACACATGCACATTTCTTCAGTTTCCCATTTTAACTAGCTTTTTTACCAGGTCAATTTCAACTTATTTGTTAAGAAAGAAACTAAATCTCACAAAATTATGAAATGTCATCATTGAAAGTTACTGAATGAGTTATTTTATTTGTTACTGAATTTTGTGAAACACCTAATAAAATTTTCCTTCAGCAACACTAACAATTCAATTTTCCATGGAAGAGCAAATAAAACTAATTAAATTCCATGCACTGAAATAAACATACTTGCAACTTATCATAAACAGCAGCTTGGACTTCATCAAACCAAGTTTCATTAGGAGGTTCAGATCGCATTCTAAACAGCAATTTCTTAATGAGAGTTTCTTCAATACGTAATCTTGGTGATGCCTAAAAACAATTTAACAATTACAAAAAATCAGAACTTGAACTCACATAATTCCAAAAGAAACACACACTTGGTACCTTTTCAGAAAGATATTGTTCAAAAATACTGTAAGCAGCTTCTTTCATATTTTCCAAAGTGGGGTTGGTTTGCTTTAAATCACCAGATCCTTTTAATTTCTGTAACTCATGGTCTGAAATTTGTTGTTCTGCTGAAACACGCCATCCTACAAAAACAGAAAATTATAACTCCTAGTGTGCTGAAGTTCAAAGAAATTTATTTTTCAGAAATGCAATTGACTGATGATATGAGCAAAATCATTCTGTAGCTTTTGTTCATTATGAATGAAATAAAATTAAAGAGGCATCAAAAACGTTTTTAGAATATACTTGATTTACATAATCAGAAACACATGGTGATATGGGAGGCAGTAAGTACTCTTCCATCACAAGTCCCAATTCTACCTCAGGCAGAGGTGTTTGTTTTCTTTTATTCTGTGTCATGGAGGTCTTTGTATAGTAATCTACCTCTTTGCAGGGGAACTAATTGCCAAATAGCTTTTACATAATGTGAATTAGGTGTCTGACCTAATGAAAATATTTCAGATGGTATTTAGGCTAACTGGAAAAATTCTAATAATAAATAATAAAGCCACAGCTTTTTTAATATTTAAATAATGTTTTTATAGAATTAAGTTGGCAAGCATGACTGGATGCCATGCACATAAGAGCATATGAGAACAAAATGTATGTTATTGAGTTCTAATGAATTGAGTTACCTTCAACATTCAGGTAGAAGAAAAGATAGGCCTGAGCGCCAATGCTCGTCATATAATCAATAAAATATGCCAAGGCTATGTTGTTCTTCAACACAACATCTAAGGGTAATGAGAATAATTTACATCCTGGGGTCAATAATCGATTCCAGTCAATATGAGATGGAAGGCCTAAAAAAACAACAAATTTTAATTAAATACTGCAATGAACAAAAATACTTCAGTTTGTCACCCAAAATACACACCAACAGAATCTGTGTCACTGCCTTCTTTAAGCCGTTGTAATCTATTATCAATAACTTTTCGCACATATAAAAGACTGCTTAGTTGTTGTTTAATAGCAGCATCATCATCTCCTCCAGAATCTCGAGAACGCTGTTGTTAAAGGAATGATAAATATTAAAATCATTATTCATAAATTTTTCATATCACTATTGAAAAGGTGCAGTATATTCAGCCTTTATTGATTTTATGAAAAAAGTAAGGATTACTCTCAGATCAACATGTTCCTAAGATGTAATACACAAGGTATAACTGTAAGAACAATAGAACAACATAATTGTGTAAAGGAAACGAGTAATTCAGATTATACTATACCAATTGCCTAGTCAACTCAAAAAACAAAAAAACTCCACACTTGAATACAATTAAACATAAAATCGGCAGTGCCTTCTCAAAATACGTGTTAAAATATAACTGGACAAGTTCATTTTATTTCCAGATCTCAGAGCCAAGAAAGATTTCAATATGAACATGTCATGTCAATACTCTAATCACATTTCAAGACTGTGGAATTGCCTGCAAAGATCCTAATGTACAACTCAAAACTACCCCACATGTAAACAAAATATAACATTATCCTTTGATAATGTCATAAATAGCTACATTTTCTATCTCGTTAAATCGCTAAAATAAATACTTTTATTCTGATCTTTCAAATTATGAAACGGTACACCTCCCTAAGCATTTCCCCAAAAACTCAGCACTGTATTTAGCTATAAAATACATCAAGCTCACAATATTAAAAGGTTCTATGTGATATTTTTGGACAAAATTATATTTTGACATGATTGAATTATTGTCAGATCACCAACAAATTACACTTTTTTCATATACAAAATGAAATCCTTCTGTATAAAGAAAATGACGCAATTCGATTGGCATTTTTATGTATCTCTATTATACACCTACAAAAATTAAAAATGCTCTCCAGGAAAGTTTGCTCAATGTCATATAGTACATTCATTATGAGGACATAAAGTATTAAATGAGAGTTCAATCGAAAGCTAAGATTATCTTTCTATAGAAACACATTAATTTCCAAGACACACCAACATTCAGAAGCTTTAAGGTTCAGCAATATACAGAAGCTTTACGGTTCTTAAAAAGTCTAAAACCTTATGATTCCAGAAAAATTGTAAGCGTTTGTTTATCATTCAATAATAACAAAATTATATATAACATTATGAACAGTAGCACCATTACCACATTCCCAACTTTTATTTAATGTAAATATCTACTTTTATATTTCTTATGATTTATTACGCAAAACATTGAAATTGAAATAAATTACTAGTTGAGCAATTTCTCTGGTGACAATGTCTCGAGTAGCATAAAGCTCATCCTTGTTATCTGTCACTCGAAGGGCAGTCAGAAACACATCACTGGTCAAAGGGATCTCCTTGCACTGAAATGCAAAATAAACCAATGTTACAATATGACATTTACAAATAGAACACATTATTCTAATGATACTTCATAAAAACACTGTTTCCTAATAACTGACTTAACAAAATACACAAATAATATTTCAAAATAATAAAAAAATGGTAATTAAGAGTTTACCATTTTTCCCCAAACAAAACATAGTGCCTAATCAAAGAAAAAGTATATGGAGAATTCAAAATATCATTACTGAAGAACAAAATTTAGTATGAATTGTGTTTATTGTTGCCCATTTCATTACGATTGAAAATGATAAACAAGTTTTAATCCCCAAAACATATGAAGAAGGCTTTAAAAGGAATTCTGAAAGTTCCTACCAAACACTAGCGACAAACATGACTTATCGACAGAAGGGCAAAAGAAATACTCCCTTAAATTCACAGGAACTAGTGACTATCTATTCTCACTGTTAGACATTAGAGAATACATGATGAGGTAGACAAGAAATGAATTAAAATTTTTAAATTCAATAAAAAAACCAACTAAATGAACAGACTTTATATTTCCAGATTGAGCGAGGGAAGAGCAATTTCCTTCCTTGGCATGTCCACTAACAACAGTATTAATTTAATATATGATTAAACAATATTAGTGTTAACAATATTCATTTATTAGACACCTTATTAGTAGGTGACAGGGTGGTAACAACAGAATAAAATATACACTTCATAATTGGAAAATTCATATTTTGAAATTTACCAGCCAAATGATGATCTGGTTGATGTAATCTGGATCGGAGAATAATCTCAGCAGGGGCACCACCACTGAGCTGACTAGCAATTCTCGAAGCAAAAATCTTAAAGGCTTGCAGTGAAAATCATCAGCAGGCATTAGGAGGAAAAGTAGTACTTCACTTAAATCTTGCAAGTACTCTGAAATACAAGCAGATTTATAAGAACAGATCAGTAAATCTCTGTTTTAACTAACACTCTCAATACAGTCGAGTTTAATGCTGTATAAAAGTTTTATTTATTTACGGTCAAAAACAGTTTAAACTGTGTGCGACGTGCTAATGGAGAAGTTAATTTGAAGTTACATTTATGTCAGAAGCACAAACAAGGGCCATCTCAACATTGCTCAGGATCAGGAAACTGGACGAAACCTGATTCTGATGGAAGGATTCTTCTCCAATTAAGAAATTTACCTCTTTTGGCATGAAATCTCTTACTTAATGGGACCCAGAAGCCCTATACCTACAATGTTAAATTCAAGAAACATTTTCTTCTGATACATTTTCTTCCTATATACACTAGAGAATTGATTTTCTTACTGTAGTTTCTTCGCTATATTTTGAATGTTTTATCTCAGGATTTTTAAGAAATTTTAATTTTTGTTGCAGATATGAATTTTTAAAAGGGTAGAATATTTACACCCACATTTTTTATTATAATGTACATAATTTGTTTAAATAATAAGATATAATAAAAAGGCATTGACAAAAGTTGCAGTTTGACTGAGAAAAATGCCTAAAACTTTGAAGTCAGTAGCTCTAAGAGTTTAGGAAATAATGTTTGTTATTTACCAAAAAACAAACTTACAGGAATAAGGCTTTAAATTTTCTGTGCATTTCCAGTACATTCTAGGTCTATATGATTGATTTTCAGAATCATTCGACATTTACTCTTTCTTACAGTTTCTTTTTCAATGATGTCATAGTGTGTTTGGCTTGCTTTTCCTTTTTACTCCCCTAGTTTCCTTATTTCCCTCATTGTAAAGTGAAAAATGGAGATAATTCCACATTGGCAAACATGCATAGCAAGGTCGACGTGCAGTATATCATTTATTTTTTTAAATACTAAGAAACAATGTACAGATAAAATGATTACATCATTGAAAAGGGGAAATATTGAAGATTAATAATTCACTAAAGTAAAAATCGATATTCTATATTTTTTGCCTTCCGGGTTCCCTTCCATTACACCTCCTGTGGTATCAAATCTCGTAATTAAATCACATTATTGAACTTTCAATGGAGACACAGTACATAGCATAAATACACTGAAGTTTAAAATTGCTGTGTGGGAAATAAAGTGAAATATTGCAATATTACCTATAAAATAGCAAATAGTATACACAATTTTGTAAAAACGTGTCTGATATCGATCACAATTATAACAATGGTGGTAAAACATTTAAGAAAATTTAATTAATAATATAAATTAATATGAAGTTAAAGAATTTATAAATAAAGGATTAAAAAAATTACATTTTTAAATATTCTAGCATTTCTTGAGAAATTTCATAAAATGTTTATAATCCAATATCATTTTAACATAACTTAAAATGATTTTGTATAAGAAAATGAAATTACTAGATACAATCTGAAATATTTCAACATACAAATGTTTTGATACCTATTACTCCCCATCCAAATATTTTTTATTACTTCCGTAGACACGTCAGAAATGATATGTAGATATTGGAAAAAAAATAGTAATAAAATTATTTCAATTTAGAAAATATATGATAAATGTAGCAAAACCGGAATTTACAAGCTACATAAAAGAATGACAATTTTTAAAAGCAATGATGAATTTTAACGTCAGATTTTTAAAAAGCGCTGATGATAAAGAATAAATGACACTTAACCTTTGAAAGGTGGTGCATGGGTTTTTTGGAACTGATACTAGCAAAAAGGGATGCGAATTGGACTTAATCTGGTATTCCCAGATTACTTGCACATAGCATTGCTTTCAACTATTATGTGGATGTTGAGACTTGAGTTTTCTTTTTAACAGTCATGGTTCTGCAAATGTCAAAGGACTTTTCCTGCCTTTCCTTCCTTTTCACTCCACATGTCACCTCTGTTGTGATTGCACTAATCTGCTTTGACTAATCTACACATCTTCAGCAGGATACAGAGTTACCAAAATTGACTCTCATGCAAGAGAAAAGTATGTGTGGGCGTTGCCTGATGATGTATGAATTTGAGAACCACTTGTCAGAAAAAAAAAAAATGAAACAGAGATGAAGACCAAAAGAAGGAATGTTTTGTTATTATCAACAATGCATCGTGATGTTACTTAACAGTTCCTTTGTATCATATGTGCCAAAACTGCTCTCACAAATGATAAAATCTGAGGAGCTTTATCTAAACAAAAATATATTGTCAATGACATTTAATGATTGTATTTTCAAATACGAATATTTAATTTATAAAATTCAAAAGTGTTTATTATTTTTGCTTTCTCAATACTACTTTGATAAGTTACAATATCCTTCTCTACAGTAAACTTCAACACCGCATACTCACGTTGTTTATTTAAATAAATGCTACTATATGCATGAATTTCATTCATGTTTCAATTCATATGCCAACTTCTTGTAGTATTAAGGATTTACTAATTTCATATTTGGAGAATTTTAGTTACTCATACAAGGCACCACTAAGCTAAAAACACTTGAATCCTTTGAACTCAAACACCACCTCTCTCCCCAGGTCACTTTCCAACATGCCACCTCTGATGGGTTAAACCTCAGAACCACATAAAGGCTAAAATACTTGGAATCATCACAAAATCATACACCACATATAAGACAAAAGATTTGTTTCACCATACTAACGTTTTTCATTTTCTCCATCAGTGCACACAAGGTCCCTGCACAAAAGATTGTCCTCCATTGTGACTTCCAAATCAAAGAATAAAGCTTCTAGGTCAGTAGATGAAAGCTTGGAAGGAATGCTGTTGGGACTTATATTCAGAGCTGCAGAATTTCCATCAGTACTTTGTTCCTGTTGTTGCTGTTGCAGCTGTTGTTGCTGCTGTTGCTGTTGCTGCTGTGACTGCAAATGTTGCTTTGTACTAAGCTGCCGATCACTACGTTTCACTTCTGCTGGGGACGTACTACTACTACTTGCATCTGATGATCTAGTGCCAGGTTTCGACTTTTGCTTCACTTTTTCTCGTGCTTGACGGAAAAGACGTAAATGTGAAGCTGCATCATCAACTAACCGTGTTGTCAAGTATGGGATCCAATCAACTTCTTTCATTCTAGAAATAAACATTGAAGGCACACATGAAATAATTTTCAATTGAATAATATTCAATCTCAAGTTCTATTTTTACAAAACTGCCAAATTATCCATCTTTCAAAAATTAATTAGTATATTTAATGATTGATTAATTTTCTTATCTCACCATTAAACAGAGTACGAACAAATGCCTTTTCCACCATTCATCAAACACAAACATTTTCAGTATGTTGAAGTGATTATCGTTCCAAAATATTTTAAATACATTTGACTTAACCTTGAATTTGATTGTCAATTTAATAATGTAATATAAAAGTACCAGCCATAATAAAGCCTTTATTGTGAAAATAAAATTATAACATTTGTGCACTCACTTGCAAGCAAAGGTGATAATGATTTTTTGAGCAGTCTGTCGTACTTCATGAGGAAATTCTTCCTCTGTACTAACTCTATTATACCATGGTGAAACATAATCACGGAGAACATAACCAATGATCTCCTGAAGTGATTCGTCTATAATGTGAGAGCCCGTAAGCCGCCGATCTAGTTTAAAAGGTTTTTGTGGCTCATCCAAAAGTACTGTCACCTAAGAAAAATAAACATTAATATATTTGTTCAACAAAATTCAAATATTTGCTGACAACAGACTATTTAAAAGTTCCAAATACAATTTCTTGTCAAAATGAAGTTATTTTAAGAATAATTTTGAATTTTACCTTACTGAGCCCAGGTTTTGGAGACTCTGTTCTTGATCTGTATAGATTGATATAATATTTCTGTGTTGCCTCAACATGTTTCAAGCACAAAAATGTTAGACCACTAGAACATTAATTCATAAATTATAAGAAACATTGAAAGATGAGATAAAGAAAGTAACAATACAAATGGAACCAGACAGACAAAAAGAAGAAAGATTAGGTGAGCCCAGAGATATGGAGCAATAATACCTAGAATACAAATAGCAAATTAGTGATCATTTTTCATAATTAATATTATTTTATGCAGATTATTCCTTGATAAATCAAAACAAAATATTGCAATTATTTCTGTAACATTTATTAAAATTTGATTATTCTTAATTAAATTTGCAGCAAATACATTAAAAAGTGAAAGTAAGGATTTTACACATACCCCACTAAAAATACTGCTAATGACAGAGCAATAGTTATGCACCACCAGAAACCAAATGTTGTAATAAATAGAATAACCACCAGGCTGCCCCAACCAAGAATGGTGTGGTTCATCTAAAAAAGAAAATATAACACAGATGACGTATATATTTAAACAAAGGGATTCTACAAATAATTTATATTTTATAATATTGAGGCTTTAAAGTACGTGTTGTTACTGTGTGTAATATTTACATTTTAAATCACGGGCCACTGTACCATGTCATCATCGGCATCAAAAACGTCACCTGTCAGGTCAACACCTTTCTTCAGTTGAATACATGATTACTCGAAATGATGCTAAAAGATTTTCTGTGAAATACGAACAATGTTCGAACCGGTGATAGCACGCCTTGAAATATATTATTTATGTGTTATATTTTACAAAAACACGTTACATTATATCATGCGCAGACAAGCCTACTTACGGAATTAAGTAACAAGAACTCTTGCCATTAGAAAAATATCACGTGCTCACGGCTTTTGGGGGGGAGAGAGTCTAGATAAGTAATCCTTTAAACGCATGATAAATACATAATTAATACGCTGCGGGTAATTCCCGATTCTTCAGCAGTGCTCCATTATACATCAGCCACATTTTCACGTAAAATCAGCCGTGGGCGTTCGTCTTTCGTCACTGGTCTACTGGTGCTCAACTCAAAAAGTTTCGGGTATCTCCACGAGAGAGCAGACCTCATCCACTTTTTGCGCTAAATTTAAACTTGATTTCAATGCATATCAAAGTTTACAACCATTACAGTCTAATTGTAAACAAACTTCCAACTTTGATTAATTCTAAAATCCTATTTCACGAATATGCAAGCAAGAGATCTTACGAGAGAGTATCCAATCAAACGAAAATGTACGCTTTTCTACAGAAAATTATTTGATTAATTAGGAAAATTGACTGGTCATTTGTTAGGTGGGTATTAGAAAAAATATTTGGTAATATCAAAAGAATAATTATTTAAAACCCAATTTTTACACCAGTTATATTTTTAAATACACACATTTTTAAATTAATCTCTTTAAAAATAGCATACTCTCTCTATAATAGAGGGCATTACACTTTACAAGTAAACTAGGCAATGATAAAAGACATAAACACAATTTCATACATTAAAGTAAATTGAAAGCTTTCCTGCCTTAACAACATGTTCTAACAGTGTAAAGGAATTTTCAAATTACATTTCCGCTTAAAAAAATAAAATAAATAAGAATTTCTTATTATATTAGACTTTCTGTTCTCATTTGAACTGTTTCAAGCTTGAAGCAAAGCAAAAAAGAACTGCAATATCACATCCTGTGGAATAGAAGAAGAAAAAAACTGGACAAAACTTGCCTCCTCACCATTTCAAGTTTATAAATATAGAATGTACTACTATTGTTCAACTTTGATGTAGTTGCAAACATAATTGATATGCATATTATGTATTATTATAATTAATGTAAATGTATTTGTTGTATATATATTATATAAAGTAATAGCATTAAAATATAGCAATATTGAAATTGTTATTATTAGCTAGATAATTTATCTACTGTATTAAATAT